AATCCCGCGGACTTCAGAGATGGGAGTTAGCATATCTGTTTTAGAGGTCAGGGAAGGAGGGTGAGATGAATCATGGAAGATGGGTTGAGCTTTGACAGGCAGAGGAGGGAGAGGGTTTAGGTAGTGACATGTGCGCTTCCTTCAGGGGACACTCACGAAGTAAGGCTAGGAAGGTAGTGGAAATCACACTGAGAAATCCAGACCAGTGAAGTTGTACTTTATTTGATAAAGGCAGGAGAAAAGGGGAAGGTGAGAGGCATGAAGCTTTAGGAAGTTCAAGTTAGCAAAGGCTTACAGGATGGAACCTTGGGCAACTGTTAGCCAGCCATCGGGTGGCTGGAATAACTGTGACAGCCTCGATCAATGGTTCTCAACTACCTGAGGGTGGAAGTTGGGATTGGAGCGCAGACAGGCAGCAGAACGATACGGCATAAAATATGTTTTGAAAAGGCAGAATTACTATGCTTGTCGTTATCACTGTAAGAAAGTGTCACTATCTGAGTTGTTTTTGCAGAAAGTGTCACTATGTGAAATTCCCTTGGGGGTGGGACATGCACCCCATTTTAAAAGCTGACACACCCTAATCTCCAAGATCCCTTCTAGTTCTAACTTACTTTGAATGACTTGATTTTATGGATAAGGAAACAAAGGCTGAAAGAGGAGGTGTGGCTGATCAGGGCAGTCCTGCAAGCAGTCCCTGAGCCTTTTAAAATCCAGGATAGAATTCATTCCAGGGGCCCTGGGTGGCTCAGTCGGTTGAGCATCCCACTTCAGCTCAGGTCGTGATCTCACAGTTCATGGTTGTGAGCCCTGCGTCAGGCTCTGTGCTGACAGCTGAGAGCCCGGAGCCTGCTTTGGATTCTGTGTCTCCATCTCATTCCATTGTACCATGTATCTGTGATGGTTTCCATTTGTAAAATAGCCAAGTTGGACAAGGAGAGATACAGCTGGAAAAACTCACTAGGTTGGATCCGGATATTCACTCCCTATTTCTGCTGCTTTCTGTCAAGAGACTCCTGGGTCGATAAGGCATTGCAGGAAACAAGAGTTTGTAAAACAGGCAGGTCTTCTACCATAGTCCCTTTTTGGGGGCACATATTCTTTTGACCACACGACACTCCAAATCATGACCATATAAAACTATAGGGATTCAAAAAGATAAAATGCCAAAGCAAGGTACAAAAGCCACATTCTAAGACCTCCTATCTACCAACCTTTTGTCATATGTACACGTATACTTAAAAAAATAGGGTCTATTTCTAATTTCTTATTGGTTCATCGATGTCTTGACCTTTTCCCAGTCATTACTTAATTGCTCTATTTTCTCGAGGCTTCCCCAAGTGCACATTTCTCATAATCTTTGAAGACTCCTGTTTATGAAAATGAAAGAGCATTTTTCTTCAGTCATGTTTTCATCGTTACAACTTTAGGAACAATTTCTTGAGAGATGTTTTGGGAGTTGTATTCCAGAACGTATTATACTCATGGTCTTCCCCCACCCCGTACGATGAATAAATGAATTTGCCTAGAGAGTGGCAAAACTGACTTTTCTGGTTTTGGTAGAAAAGATAAACATTGCACTTATAGAAGATGTGGGAATAGACTTCAAGCAGGCTTCAAGTTTAGGGGAGGAACAGAAGTGACTTGTTACCAGTTACTTGTGTCTAGTGAGTCCCCTGAGCATTTGGGAGGGACAGGCAGTGGCAGAGGTAATAAGCCTTTCCTGAGAAAGGAAAAGAGAGGTTCTCAAGTCCTGAATGGGAACCTCACCCTTATTGGGGGTATAAATGAGAGCTGGGCCAGGGGAGCTGCCCTTCTAACTGGGAGCACTGCTGACTTCTGCTCTTACAGCTCCCCCGATTTCAGAGTTTGTACTCTTCATCCACAAGGCGTCTTTGGTCAGTTACACCATGGCCCCTTATGACAACAGGTGATCCCAGTGCAGCGTGATATCTGCTTTGCAACAGATGGAATGAATATGGGTGCTCGGGGCAATTAGGACAGGAAGGGAAAGGGTGGGTAAAGGTCAAGAAGCACCAATGGAGGTGAGATTGTGCGAGGGGAGGAAAGGGTGTGCATATGCTTATGT